AATCCCAATGTGGCTCTCGGTCAGGAACTGCCTCAGCTCCTGGAGGGTGTGAAAGGTTAGTTTGATGAATTTTGTCTGCGTGAATCCTAGCCTGCTCCCAAACCCGCCTGTGCTCCTCAGGAAGTAAGTTATTAGAAAGTTTCATGTATATATCATGAAAGGTGAGACTATAAGATTGAGTTATATATTGAAACTGTTTAATAAAGGCAGCAGAATTAGAAGTATAAGAACCCAGCTTACTTTCTAGCTGAGAGAGTTATGCTAGAGAGAATGGAACATGAACTTTAATCAGTCCATCCACACCAGCCACCTCTCGCAAAGGGAGAACAGTGGAAGGGTTTGGATGGCTGGAATCCGACAATTTAGCAGTCCGAGAGCGGGTGGTAGGAGGAGTGAAGTTTGGAGCTAGGGCAGGGCCTTTGGAACCGGCCGCTGCCGAGGAAGGAGCAGCTTTAGAAGAAGAATCTGGAAGGGGAGCGGAAGGAACGGTTTTCTAGGAGTTGGAGCTGGAGGTCGAATAGGTGGAGGTTCGTTAGCAGGATCTAGAGTCAGAGATTCCGGAGTCAGAGAATCCTCCGGTTCAGGCATAGCCAGGAGCATATGAGCAGGAGAGAAGGAATTCAGAAGAGATGGTTTAGCACTGAGAAAGAAAAATGCTATAATGTAGGGCAACTCTTGCCATCTGCCTGAGCGCTGACAGTAATTAGATAACTCCCGTAAAATATCGGGATCTAAGGAGCCGCTCGGCGGCCATTTTTTGTTGTTTTCTAAAGAATACTTTGGTCATTTTTTAGAACATAGACGAGTTAGCTTAGGAATCTTTATGTAAGGCATTAAACTGAGAGGTTTTAAAGCTTCAATAAGACAGCCTAAAGGAGAGGAAGGACTAACAGGGTTGGAAGCCTTGTTTCCCATGTCTGCAGTGGAGAGGCAGAAAAAGAAATAAAAAAACAAACGTGATCCGGAGGAGCCAAGGCCCCAGGCATCCCCAAGGCCAAGGACGGATACCGGGCACAAGCCACTCCTTGGCTTGTCAGCCACAGAAGTGGGGGCCCCTGCCACGTGAGGAAAGGATTCCCCGGGAATCCGGACAGCCTTTGCCGCTTTGTCAAGTCGGATGAATGTGTTGGCCTCACGTGGCCCCCAGGACGCACCCAATGGCGGTGGTCCCAACGCAAGAAATTTCTCAGGCTGCAGACGTGGGAGAGGGCTAGAAATCTCAGGCCTATCTCACAGGAAAAGCCCTATCTCGAAAAAAACAATAAAAATAAAAATAAATTACAGCCTTCAGGTGTTTTCTCTTTTTTGTCTGTTTCTTTTCTTTTTGGATTTTTTTTTTTTAAATAAAAGATCCACTGGTGCAAAATTCTCTATGCCATGAGGCCGGTGTTGAAATCACAGAGATCCACCTCTCTGTGGATCTGCCTCCTGTTTGCTCAGATTAAAGATACGTGTCAATCTGCCTAGGCACTTCATTCCTTGGGAGGTAGAGTCTTCCTCTGTGCTTAGGGAAGAGCAAGTAACATGGAAACAGATGGCGTTGCTGTGGCCATGATGTTGTCCATATTTCATCCCCACTCTGGGGTCCACTCTTCTCACTTAGTGGCTTCCAGTGTTGAATGCAAATCCCCTGGTCTGGTGTCCAAAGTACACGTTTCCCTCGGGTCGACTCTGCCTGGAAAATATCTATAAATAAAACGAGTGTTGAGGCTCACTCCCATAATCCAGCACTCAGGAAATGACGCAGAGGCAAGGCCATTAGTTGAGGTCTAGTTTCTGCTACACCGTGAGTTCTAGGCCTACCTGGGCTACATAAAGGCCCTATCTAAAAAACGAATTCCACCAAGAGGGAAAAGAAAAAAAAAAAAAAGAAGAAAGAAATGAAGGAAGAAGGGAAGAGAGAAAGATCGTAGCGCTTGTGGAGTCAATACACAGTGGGGTCATCATCTTCCACCATAGTCACAGTTCCTTCCTTTCCTGGTAAAAATCTGATCCAGACACATGCCCTGAAATCCTGAATTCAATTAGAAGGGTAGAGCTGCAATCATCCAATCAAACTGCTTGTTTGTCTGGCTGGCTACAAATGGGAGGAGCGAGGGGGGACGCGCTGCAAAGCTTCAGAGGAGCCACAGAAGATAACCAGGGTATTGGAGTCAGGAGCGTCTGCCTGGCCTGCTGGAAGGGGAACAGGATTGCCAGTATCAGCCTCTGGTAAGTCACCCTCTCCATCAGGACACCACATCTCACCCAGCCCAGCCACTCTCTACTTTAGACCCAAGATGGCGAGGGAGTTGGAATTCCTGTCTCCACATGAGCAGAGTGCAGACTGGGTTTGATTCCAAATGCAGCTTTGCTTTATTCTTAAATACCACTTTTTTCTTCTTCATTCGTGATTTTTTTTTCTTTTTTTTTAAACTTCTGAGACAAGGTTTTGCCTGTTGCCCAGATTGTCCCGAACTGGCTGAGTAGCTCAGGCTAGGTGGAAACCCAGCTTCTGCTCCGGGTTGCTGACATAACATGCTGTTACTCAGAGATCTTCCAATCTTCTGGTTTTTTTTCTTTTTCTTTTTTCTTTATGGTTTTTCAAGACAGGGTTTCTCTATGTAACAGCCCTAGCTCTCCTGGAACTCACTGTATAGACCAGGCTAGCCTTGAACTCAGAGAAATCTGCCTGCCTCTGCCTCCCAAATACTGGGATTGAAGGCATTTGCCACCATGCCCCACCATGCTGGGCAGTTGGTTTTACTCTTTTTTTTTTCTTTCTTTTTTTCTTTTTTCCAAGACAGGATTTCTCTGTATAGCTTTGGGCCTTCCTGGATCTGCCTGTGTAGCCCAGGCTGGCCTCAAACTCACAAAGATCTGCCTGCCTCTTCTTCCCAAGTGCTGGGATTAAAGGCATGTGCCACCACCTCCCCTTGGTTTTAATCTTAAAACAGAGTGTTATATAAGCATGGTGGTCCACGCCTTTAATTCCTGCACTTGGGAGGCAGTGTTGGCAGATTTCTTGGAGTTCAAGGCCAGCCTGCTCTACATAGTGATTTCCATGACAGCCAGGCATAGTAAAAGAGATCCAGTGTCAAACAACAACAATAATAATAATAAAAATAAGGATTTTTATAACCAAGGCTAGCCTAGAAACTCCATACATACCCTAGATGACCTTGAATAGTGAACGCTCTGTCTCCCCTTCCTAAGAGCTGGGTGGATGCTGGGGATCGAGAACCCAGAGCCTTATGTATGCTGGACAAGCATTCCAAAAACTCACCTGCTTAGACAGTATCTAGGTTTCAGTTTTTGTGCTTTTCTTTTCTTTTCTTTTTTTTAAACATTTATTTGTATTTTATGTACATTGGTGTTCTGCCTGCATATATGTTTGTGTGAGAGTGTTGAATCCCCGGGAACAGGAGTTATAGACAGTTGTGAACTGCCATGTGGGTGCTGGGAATTGAACCTGGGCCCTCTGGAAGAGCAGCCAGTGCTCCTAAGCGCTGAGCCATCTCACCAGCCCCCCCCCCATTCTTTTATTTTTTAATTTACAGTGATTACAATGAAGCTATTAAGGGAAATGAGAAGTTCTGGCGAGTGAGAGCATTTTTAAGGGAGAAAAACATTAAAACGACTTAGTTTTTCTTTGTTGCTGTTGACAGAGAAAGGATGTTGAATTGGAATTTACTTTGGTGTTTGTTTGTTTACTAAGGAGTCCTGGGTGGCCTGGAACTTGCTGTGTGGGGCAGGCTAGAATTCACATAAATCCATCTGTCTCTGGCTTCTCAGTACACATGCCACCAGGCCAGGAAGTGCGTGTGCGTGTGTGTGTTTTCAGGTGTGCTCCAGTACCACAGCTGGTCTAGTATCCCACTTCTGGTTCTTCACCCACACAGGCTGAGATAAGAGACTGGAGCCTCCAGGCAGTGGTGGCGCACGCCTTTAATCACAGCCCTCGGGAGGCAGAGGCAGGCGGATCTCTGAGTTGGAGGCCAGCCTGGGCTACTGAGTGAGTTCCAGGAGAGGTGCAAAGCTACACAGAGAAATCCTGTCTCGGAAAAACAAAAAACAAAAAAAGAGTTCGGAGCAACCAAGTCTGAAAGGCTTTGCTTTCTTGTATCTTACTTAGTTTGTGACCTTTTCATGATACTTCCTGGACACTGATTTGTGTCTATATCAATTAACATTTCCTTGGATGTCTTTCTTGGACGATTCCCCAGGATCCAACAGGATGAGCATCCATTCCCTACCCACACTCATGAAGCCGGCAAGGCAGGAGATGCTGAGAAATGAGGCCTTGGCCATCTCTGCTCTGGAGAAACTGCCCTGGATGCTTTTCCCAGCACTGTTCAAGGACGCCTTCCATGGCAGATTAACTAGGATTGTGAAGGCTATGGTGGCAGCCTGGCCTTTCCCCTGCCTCCCTGTGGGGGCACTGATGAACACCTTCAACCTGGAGATGGTCCAGGAGATGCTGGATGGACTGGATGTCCTACTTACACAGAATATTTGCCCCAGGTAAGCAAGACCCATGTAGGGTCCAATGGAGGACACTGGGGTACAGGGAAGAGATATGTGGGGTGCAGAGAATGGGGTCAGAGGTAGATGAGAGGCCTTTGGTAGCATCAGCTTGGAGGATTGCAGAAGCCTTGACCTGTGTTGAGCTCTGATGGAAAAGGACAGTTGGGTGTAGGGGAGGAATGGGGAAGATGTGGGCAGAGTGGAAGGAGCCTGTCCCTGTCCCTCCCACAGGCACTAGTTAGTACCAGGTCAAGCATAACTGAATGGAGGGAAGGGAGACAGAGGGCTACTGATGCAGCTCAGAAAGAGCCATTGCCTGGCACCATGAGGACTTTGTTGGGCACTCAGCGCTGGGGAAAAAACAAACAAAACACTGTCAAAATCCACACGGGAGAGAGGAAGAGCTGACGTTAGAGGTGTGTGGAAAGGAGCCGAATGTCTGTCGGGTCTTCTCTTGTCCGTGACACGTCACCTGTTTTACTCACAGGAGGGGCAAACTTCGAGAAATCGATTTTCGGAGAGTGCACCACAAATTCTGGACTGTATGGGCTGGAGCAGAGGATGGGGACTGCTCAGCAGAGACTGTGAGTGAGAAGCAGGAGGTGAAGCCCCCTCTCAGATATGAGCTGACCCGGCCTCTGAAGGTGATAACTGACCTTTACTTCAGGTTCCAACTGGATGAAGCAGAAACAAACTTCTTAGAGTGGGCCCAGCAGAGAGAAGACTCCCTACAGTTCTGCTGTGTGAACATGAAGATTGAGTCCTTGTCCCTAGAGAATGTCAGCACGATTCTGACAGTTTTCCAGCCTGAGCATATCCAGGTGTTGGAACTCAGCACAGATTGGAGCTGGCCCTCTCTGGCACAGTTTTCTCCCTACCTCGCTTAGATGAGAAATCTTCACACGCTTTCTCTAGCGCAAATTCCCGAGAACAGATTGGGGCTTGATGATATACCAGGCTCAGAGGAGAAGGAGCTTGTCGGAAATTTCCTTTCTCAGTTCTCCCAACTCAGCAGTCTCCAGCATCTCTCTTTGAATGGCATCTCTCTTGCCAGGAGGCACATGAAACTCTTGCTCAGGTAAGGATGCAGAGAGAGCTGTTTCTGCTACCAGAGCAAAACTTTGCCTTTTAGGGTAAAGAGTAGTGGGTCTGGTATCTTCTGGTCCTAGCACAATGAACAGTGAGTCATTAGCATATCTAAGCATGGTCTGTTTCTATTAACTGAATCAAGGTCTCCCAGGACCTCATGACACAGAGGCCTGATTTGGGGTAGGAAATGTGTGTGTGTGTGTAGTATGTCAACAATATAGTTGTGTGGGTCAGATTGAGTGAGAATGGTGTACTTTCTGTCTTAGAACCCTGGCTAAGCTAATGGCAAGTGAACAGAGAAAGCAGGGTACAGAAAGAGTGGAGGAACAGATGCCTGCAGAGTTCCCCAGATGGTCTGAGCTCAGATTGTGTGAACAGCCACCATGATGCCCTGATTTCCCATGTAGGAAGTGTTTTGAACTAGTAGGGGCTGAGTGGATGGGAAAGGCTGAAAGTGAGGTTGAAGGTCAGTGTCAGGGTTGGGGACTGTGAATCCCCACAGGGGAGGTGACAGGGGCAGAGGGCAGTGAGAACTAACTGCCTAAATGCTCTCAGGGCTCTCATGGGTTGGTCCTTACTGCATGTGCCCTAGGGTGCAACAGGCTGCCCTGGAATTCTGTCCTCAGTGAGGAAAAGCTGCCACAGAGCTGTGCTAGTGTGCCGCTGAGCCACCCACAGTGCTAGTGGCAGCTGTGGGTGTGACTGGAGTGAGCAGAATCCAACAGGCAGCACAGTAGATACTGACTTCCATCATTTGGTCCATGTGACCCGGGGACACACGTCCCCTTGTCCTGTTGTGTGAACCCACCCCACATGCTCTCCAGCATCATTTGTCAGAACTAACCCCTTGGTCTCTGTCTAGGAACCTGAAGACGCCCTTGGAATCCTTCTCTATCACTCACTGCCGGCTTTTCCAGTCACACTTGAAACACCTGTCCCGGTGTGAGCGGCTCCATCAACTAAAACACCTGGACATGTGTGGCGTTCCTCTGTCCTGTTTGAGGATGAAGCCTCTCAGAGTTCTCCTAGAGAAAGTGGCGAACACTCTTGAGACTCTGGGATTTCAGGGGTGTGGGATAAAGGACTCCCAACTCAGTGTTCTCCTACCTGCCCTCAGCCAATGCTCGCAGCTCACCAAGGTCGATTTTTATTTTAATGACTTCTCTGTGAATGTCTTGAGGGACCTTCTCCGCCACACAGCCAACTTTACCAAGATGACCACGGAGCAGTACCCTATCCCTCTGGAGTGCTATGATGAGTTTGGTTACTTCTCCAGAGAGTCAGTTGTCCAACTTTGCCGTGAGCTCATGGACACACTCAGGGCCATGCGGCAGCCCAAGGACATGTCCTTTGCTGCAGTTCTCTGTGGCAGTTGTTTGAAGCGCCGTGTGTATGACCTGGAGGCCAGGGTTTGTCCCTGCTTGCAGTAAAGAGGGGATTGTTACTTTTGGTCCTTGCCTTCTCAGGGTGGCTTTGTGCAGAGCTGTTAAAGAGAGTGAGCAATGCAGACACCTTCTGTGAAGGAGGGTGGGGGATTTGGAGAGGTTTTTAATCCAGGAACCTCAGTGTAGGAGGCACTGTGTGCATATCAATGATGGCAGGAGGAAAGGGCAATGCAGACAAATGTTTTTTTATTTATTTATTTTTATTTTTCGAGACAGGGTTTCTCTGTAGCTTTGGAGCTTGTCCTGGAACTTCTGTAGACCTCCTGAGTGCTGGCATTAAAGGCATGTGCCACCACTGACAGCTAAACTTAATTTTGTAGCTAGAGTTTTCCTGCCTGCCCCACAGTCAGGACAAATCTCTGTCACCCGCCAGTCCCACAGCTGCTCAGACCCAACCAAGTAAACACAGAGACTTATATTGCTTACAAACTGTATGGCCATGGCAGGCTTCTTGCTAACTGTACTTATATCTTAAATTAATCCATTTCTATAAATCTACACCTTGCCACGTGGCTCGTGGCTTACCAGCATCTTCACATGCTGCTTGTCATGGAGGCGGCTGGCAGTGTCTCTCTTCCCTTCCTGTTTCCTCAATTCTCCTCTCTGTTAGTCCCACCTATACTTCCTACCTGGCCACTGGCCAATCAGTGTTTTATTTACTGACCAATCAGAGCAATTTGACATACAGATCATCCCACAGCACTTCCCCTTTTCTTTTTTTCTTTTTTTTAAGATTTATTTATTATGTATACAGCATGTATGGCTGCAGGCCAGAAGAGGGCACTAGATCTCATTACAGATGGTTGTGAGCCACCATGTGGTTGTTGGGAATTGAACTCAGGACCTCTGGAAGAGCAGCCAGTGCCCTTAACCGCTGAGCCATCTCTCCAGCCCTTTTCTTTTTTTTTTTTTAAGAGGAAGGTTTTAACCTTTACACATCTCCAAAGCCAGCTTGGTATATTTGGGAATTTGGGCATAGCTTCTCTTACTACTTTCTGCTGGAGGGGGGCGCTGTATCTCATGGGGACATAAAGAAAATTTTAGGATCATGAAGTAGTCCATGAGGGTGTATCCTCAAAGCCAGTTGCCTTGAATTTGATCTAGATGTTGGATCATCTGGGCCATGGTGTCATCAGAGACCTTTCAGGGGGTCTTGGCTGGTCAAACCTGATGTATCTTAATCTGGAACAAATCCAGAGCCTCTGCCTTTCTGTAGAAACAAAAGCAGAGCCTCTTTTCCAAAGCAACATATCCTTATATCCAAATTTTGAAGTCAAGGTACCTTTAAAATATACGTTTTGGCATAACTCAACAGCTTTTGTAATCAAATGTTTTTCTTCAGTTATGAATATCAAAGAGAACATAATCCAGATTCTCTGTAAAGTAACCATCTTTATGTGGCTTATTTTTTATATTACCTTGAGCCTATTGCTTTAAACTGCAGCATTCTAAGACTGAAACAGCACTGTGGCTGCTGGCTCCACCCACTTCAGCTTCCCAACATGGTGGTGGTACATTTTCCACCAGCTCTGGGAACCATCAACTCTCAGAAATAGTGGGTCTATGCTTCTTTCAAAGCAGCGTAGCCCAGAAACCTCTTTTTTTTGTTTTGTACTAGCAAAGGCTAAATCCACCACGCAGCTTAATGTGCCACTTGCAGAGGCCTCATTCCCGTCATACTGCAGGTGCAGCACGCATGCCAGGAACCCACCATAGTAGCTTAAACACGCAGGCTGCCGCTAACTTGAGAGAGACAACTAAGGAACTGTTTTTAGCTCCATTTTAGAATCTTTTTTCTCAGGTTTTAGGTAGAAACTCTTCCCAACACATTGGGCACCATTTGTAGATTTATTTCTTATGTACAGTGTTCTGTCTGCATGTGTGCCTGCAGGCCAGAAGAGGGCATCAGATCCCACTATAGATGGTTGTGACCATGTGGGTGCAGGGAATTGAACTCAGGGCCTCTGGAAGAGCAGCCAGTGCTCTTAACCGCTGAGCCGTCTCTCTAGCCACAGAGCAAATGTTTTAAGTATGCCCTCTGCTGCTCTTTCCTCTGTCACTTCAAAACAAATATTTGAATGTAACTTGCTAGCCTTGAACCCTCATGAAATTTACTTTTCTTCGGTTTTAGTTATGTTTATGTGGTGAGGAGGTAAGTGCCTACTAACTACTGCAAGTGCCAGAGGCATCGGATCCCTAAATCAGTTACCTGACATGGATGCTAGAAGCCAAACTTGGCTCCTCTGGAAGAGGAGGAAGGGCTCTCCAGTCCTGAGCCATCTCTCCTGCTCCTGGCCTTGAACTCTTAATTCTCCTGATCTGTCTGTAGCTAGAGTTTTCCTGCCTGGCCCACAGTCAGGACAAATCTCTCTCACCTGCCAGTCCCACAGCTGCTCAAACCCGACCAAGTAAACACAGAGACTTATATTGGTTACAAACTGTATGGCCGTGGCAGGCTTCTTGCTAACTGTTCTTACAGCTTAAATTAATCCATTTCTATAAATCTACACCTTGCCACATGGCTCGTGGCTTACCGGCATCTTCACATGCTGTTTGTCATCTTGTCGGCTGGCAGTGTCTCTCTGTCTCAGCCTTCCACTTCCCAGCTTTATTCTCCTCCTTGTCCTGCCTACACTTCCTGCCTAGCCAATGGCCAATCAGTGTTTTATTTATTGACTAATCAGCAACACATTTGCCATACAGAACATCCCACAGCATCTGTCTCCACCTCCTAATGGCTGAGATTACCCATATAGACCACCCTATCCAGCCTGCGTGCTGCGTGGCTCCTAAAAGCTAGGTGACCACTGGTAAATAAGTCTCCAGTACATGGTCAGAAGTCCCTCTGCTGCCCGGCAGTAATGGTGCACACCTTTAATCCCAGCACGTAGGAGGCAGAGCCAGCCGGATCTCTGTGAGTTAGAGGCCAGCCAGCTCTCCAGAGAGAGATCTAGGACAGGCACCAAAAGTACACAGAGAAACCCTGTTTCAAAAAACAAACAAACAAAACAACAAAAGAAAGTCCCTCTACTGTCCTGAAGCCCTTACTACACCAGATAACTACATTATCACTATTCAATTGTGATCTCTATCTTTATTTTAATTTTATAATTTTCTGAGCCCTTAATTCTCCTATTTGTGGGTCTAATCTCATACCCACAAGATAATTTAGTATCACTCTTTTTTTTATTTGTGTTTATTAAAATATAGATCAATTTCTTCAATATTGATCACTGTTGTTGGCTGACTACCATAAAGCAATTAATTGTAAGGTTTTATATCAAGTATACCCTGGAAAGAAATAAAAAATTGAAAAGAAGTGATTGCCATGACAATATCATTTGAGACATAATCTTAGAATTAACCCTATAAACAGTCAGTCTTCACAGAGCAACACATCTTAGGAGAATGCACACTAGACCTCCCGCATGTTTACCTTGTGTTTTTCTGAACCAATGCATCTGCAGAGTGGCTGACCATGTGAGCAGGTTCTTCATGCCAGGCTCTCCCACGGGACTCCGTCTTCCTATGCAGAACAGTTTGTGATGGTGGAGTGACGTACAGCAGGGCCACAGAGAGGGAGGTCTGAGAGAGGGGATCGAAACCTCCTGCCGCTGGTTCATCTCTAGATACATTTCAGGATGGGGCCCCGAACCCAGAACACGGAGATTCTGGGTCACCAGCTTACCTGGTGCCCTGAACCCAGAACATTGAGATTCTGGGTCACCAGCTTACCTGGGGCCCTGAACCCAGAAAGAAGATGGAGATTCTGGGTCACCAGCTTACATGGGGCCCCCAAGCCCAGAACATGGAGATTATGGGGCCCTGAACCCAGAACATGGAGACTATGGGGCCCTGAACCCAGAACATGGAGATTATGGGTCACCAACTTACAGGGGATGTACTCTGATTCCTTACAACACATACACTGAGAACCTGGTTCAGAGATCAAGACACTGAAAAGCAAAGGTATCAGTACAAACAGGGCAAATGCTCTAATTTGGAATCAAGCCCCAGAATGTTAGAAAATTTGAGGGTATTTTGGTTGTTAGTGATGCTGCTTATATTTTAGAGATATGGTTTCAATTTATAGAACAGATTGGTTTGAAACTCACTTTGAAGGTGATTCTGTTCTGAAACTCACAGCCATCCTCCTGCCTCAGGTGGGGATGTAGCTCAGCTGGTTGAGTGCTTGCCTATCATCAAGAACCCCCTGGGTGATCCCATGCCCAGGCACCACATGACACCAGCTGTGGTTGTTCATGCCTCTAATCCAAGCACATAAGTGGAGGAGGAAGGACGATCCAAGTTCAAGGTTTTCCTCACTGTGTAGTTAGAGGCCAGCCTGGGCTAAGTGAGATCCCCTCTCCGAACAACTAAGAGCTAAAGACACTGCAGGAACTCAAATAGACTTCCTAAAGCAAGAACAGAGCTGACCCAGGAGCAAAGACTCTGAGCAAGAGGACAGCCACCCAGTCCCAAAGTGGTTGCTGGTCTACAGAGCTGGGTCCAGGCTAGGGGAGCAGAGAGGAGGGCTGCATCTGAAAATATGAATTCAAGTGGTCCCAGTTCCACAAGGGACCATGCTGTACTGCAGTCCTGGGGCAGATCTGGAGCTCATTGGAGATCTGGTGACATGAGCACCAATGGTCTGGTGACATAGATCAGTGGGTAGTGCCAGGTGTCTGTTTCCAGGATCCAGGAGAGGGATGGCAGACTTCAGTGATCCTGTGTGTCCAGTAACATCCAGTAACCTCTCAAGGGCTGCCTTTCTGATACTATGTTTTATGCTCACCTCTCCATTTTCTTCTGGTTTAATTAGTCAGTCCCCTAAGTGGTAAGTGTTTGTGTGAAGTCACTGTCTAGGCTGGAGAGATGGTGCAGCCCGATAGAGTACTTGCTGCTCTTGCAGAGGATGGGAATTTGGTTTCCAGAACCCATGTCTGGCAGCTCACAACCACCTGTAATTTCTAGCTCTAGAGGATCCTAAGCCCTCCACTGCCCACTGCCATCCCACCCACACACAGCATATACTCACATACACATGCACACAAATACACAGAAATAAAATAGGGCTGGAGAGATGGCTCAGTGGTTAAGAGCACCGACTGCTCTTCCAGAGGTCCTGAGTTCAATTCCCAGCAACCACGTGGTGGCTCACAACCATCTGTAATGAGATCTGGTGCCCTCTTCTGGCCTGCAGGAACACATGCAGGCAGAATGCTGTATACATAATAAATTAATAAATCTTAAAAAAAAAAAAAGAACTTTATGAGTTCAAGGCCAGCCTGGGCTACAGAGCAAGATCCAGGAAAGGCACAAAGCTACACAGAGAAACCTTGTCTCATAAAACCAAACAGGCCATAAATGTGATTAGTTTTTCATGGAAAAAATTACACACAATATGGGAAGTCTTTTGGAATTTGAACACACATTGAATAAACTACTGTACATAATGGAGGTTCTTAAGGATCAGAAATAATTTTTTTAATAAAATATAATTGCATAACTTCACACCAATCCCTCCCTTTTGTTCCCTTCTCCATCAGTTTCAAATTTGTAGTCTCTTATTTTTATTTTATTTATTTATTTATTTATTTATTTATTTATTTTTTTGGTTTTTTGAGACAGGGTTTCTCTGTGTAGCTTTGCGCCTTTCCTGGGACTCACTTGGTAGTCCAGGCTGGCCTCGAACTCACAGAGATCCGCCTGGCTCTGCCTCCCGAGTGCTGGGATTAAAGGCGTGCGCCACCACCGCCCGGCGTCTCTTATTTTTAATTGTTAATGTTTTATATGTATGCAAATAAATATGTAAATCCACTCTTGAGTTCATTTAAT